AGATAGAGTCATGACATGCCAAATGATGACCAAATACATGCTGAAAGGGACTGAACATAAGCTAGGATGACATACTAAAGCAAGAAGCATAAAAAGCTAGTTTATGGGATTTACACTACAAGTGTATCATATATGCATGGAGTGACAAAACCAACCCAAAAAAGATCTAAGGCATGGTAAAACATCACCAAAAATCTACTGAAATGGACTCAACACAAGCTAGGCAAACATGCTACTTTGATGAGCTACAAATGGGATTACACTACACATACAAGATGCATGCAAAAGGTGACCAAACGAGCCATGGACAGAGCCAAGGAAGGTCCTAAAAGTCACAAAAAAGGGGCCTGAACCAAGCCTCAAAAGTATAGAGAGGCATGCTCCTTTGGAAGGCTAAAAATGCAAGCAAACAAAAATCAAAAGAGAGGGGGCCACCCCCTCTGATTTGAGCCCTCAAAACCACATGTCTACCACTGAAAATCCACTGGATTTCAGTGGTTAGAAGGCCAAACCAAGGCTAGCTTGGAGCCTTAAGTCATGGCTCAAAACAAGGCTAAACAAAGCCAACAAGAGGGTTAAAGACCCTCAACAGCAAAAAGACCTTAAACAAACTTCAAAAACACTTAAATAAAAGAATTTTTTCAATTGAAAGAAAGGCCTAAAACAATATGCAAGGATGGCCAAAATGAGGTACAAAAAGTGCTAAAAAGGGAAAGAAACTCACCCTTGAAGATCAACTTCGAAACCAGCAACTTCAGGGGGGTAAAACCTCACTTTGAGAGCTCAAGAAGTCCTCCCAAGAACCTCAACCCAAAGATGGTGGTGTATCTCTAAGTGTTGTAGTGTAAAAGTGCAAGGAAAATGGACTTTAAGGCACAAATGAACAAGAATATAGAGAGAGAGAGAGAGAGAGAGAGAGATATTTCTTCTCAAAATGCTGAACCTCTGCTAAGGAGAGAGGCTCTCTCCTTATATAGAAGAAAAACAATGCAAAGCTTCTTCAAGATGCTTGGCAAGAGCTTCATCCCTCCATACACGTGCATGGAGGGCAGATAAAAGGATTCCAGGTGGCTCAAAAGATCTAGAGTGAAACCTGCTGAGACAGGGGTGCTGCCGGCCATCAGGGATGGCCGACAATGGCTCATTGATGGCCAGCAGGCTCAATCAATGGCCGGCAGCAACAAAATGGGGGCCGGCAGGTCCAAAAGGTAGCCGGCAGTGCACCAAGAAGCACATTCTGAAAGGACCAAGTCATAGTCCAAGAATAGGGCAGAAAGGATACAGGGTCTGAAAAGCCCGAACCTGTGATGTTCCACGGCGAAAGTCAAATACCCGACGAGCAATCGAACTTGTGACTGGATATACCTGCAAGCACAACTGTGTCTTGAGGACGGTCAAAAATGGGGTGTCTACAGTTGCCCCTCTTTGACAGAACTCGAAAGTCACAAAGTGACGAAAGTGAGTGTCAAAGCCCAGAGACGACCCATTTTTGACAAGGCCGAAGGCTCAGGGAGACATTCAAAATAAGCATGTAGAGATGCGCCCGTGGGCTGGGGTATAATGCAAATGATATGCAAGATGCAAGAGCATAACTTATGATTATGCAAAGAAAAACTATAATGAAATAGTTATGCAAAATAAATGCAACATTTTAAGCGAATGAATAACAATCCTACATATTTCAACAGAAAGAATGTAAGAAAATTATGCAATTCTCACCACGTCTATCGCGGAGTGCATACAATACTGTCTGATTCGTCTAGTCGTGCCGACTTCAAATGAACCATACATACAATATCATGCCTGTAAGAGAAAGAAACTCAACAAGTATAATATTGTTAGAAACATGCATAACAATGCAAGTGAACAGTGCGTGACAACGCAAGTAGAACGTGCGTGACAGCGCAAGTTAAAGAGAAGTGCGTGACAGCGTAGGATAAAAGTGTGTGCGTAACAGTGCGAGTAAAGATAGTATGCATAACAGCGCAAAATATGGAAAGTGCGTAACAGCGCAAGTAAAGAAGCACGTGCGTGACAGCGCAATATAAAGAAGTGCATGGCGTAAGCTAAAACATGCGTAACAACACAAGTAAAGTAAAACATGCGTAACAGCGCAAGTAAAGTGTGCATAACAATGCAAGATAGAAGTGTGTGCGTGACAACATAAGCAAAGATACAGCGCGAGTAAAATATGCGTAACAGCGCAAATAGAACAAGTAAAACATGTGTAACAACGCAAGCAAAACATGTGTGACAGCGCAAGGTAAAACATAACATGCATAACAGCGCAAGTAAGTAATAAAACATGCGTAACAGCGCAGGTTAATGAGATAGAATATGCGTAACAGCGCAAGTAAAGAAGTAAAACATGCGTAACAGCGCAAGTAAGTAATAAGAAATGCGTGACAGCGCAAGTTAAAGAAGTAGACATGCATAACAGTGCAAGTAAGACATGTGTAACAACGCAAGTTAAAGAGATAAACATGCATAATAGCACAGGTTAAAAGAAGAAGAGCATGCGTAACAGCGCAAGTTAAAACATGCGTAACAGCGCAAGTAAAGAAGATAAGTGCGTAACAACGCACATAACCTGCGTAACAGCACAAGTTAAGATAATAAGTGCGTAACAGCGCACACATCCTGCGTAACAGTGCAAGATAAGATAATAAGTGCGTAACAGCAAACATAACCTACGTAACAGCGCAAGCTAAGACAATAAATGCGTAACAACGCAAGTTAAAATAACAAGTGCGTAATAGCGCACATAACCTGCGTAACAGTGCAAGTTAAAATAAGAGGTGCGTAACAGCGCACATAACTTGCGTAACAGCGCAAGTTAAGATTAGGATTGCGTAACAGCACACATAACCTGCGTAACAGCGCAAGTTAAAATAAAAAGTGCGTAACAGCGCACATAACTGCGTAGCAACGCAAGTTAAAATAAGGAGTGCGTAACAGCGCACATAACCTGCGTAACAGCGCAAGTTAAGATAAGAAGTGCGTAACAGCGCACATAACCTGCGTAACAGCGCAAGTTAAAATAATAAGGTGCAAAACAATGCAAGTTTAATGAGATGCAAAACAATGCAAATATGAACTAGATGCAAGACAATGCAAATATAAACTAGATGCAAGACAATGCAAATATGAACTAGATGCGAAATAATGCAAATATAAAGAATGGGTGTTTAATTTAATAAGCGAATGCAAGGTGACAACAACGAAAAACAAACATGCTTAATGAAGACATCTTAAAAGGGGACTTCCGGTTTTACTTCTCGGAAGGTTTATGATGCGTCAAAAAGGATACACCTTGTGCGCGTTAATGGGCGATGCCCATCGTACATTGAGGACATGATTCCCGGGTTTCCACGGAGGCGTTTTGAATCAAATCTTGAGCATCCCTCAGGATTGTTGGAACCCAGGGACACATACCAAGATCAAATAGGCAGAGGAAGCTGGTGGAGGACAGTTGGCCATTAGGGAGAGCCGTCGGCTGCTGCCGGCCATTATTGGCCACTGCCGACCATCAATAAAGTTGTGCCAGCCATCGATAAAGTTGTGCCGGCCATCGATGTGCGCCTGCCGACCATCGGTGGCAGATTCGGGCAAAATGGTCTTTTCGGCCATGGGTCTTTAAATAGACCCAAAATTAACCCATTTCCTCTCAAACCCTTGCATAGAAATCATTTCCTTGCCCTCTAAGTGTACCTTCTCTCTAGATTCACTCGTTCTACGCGTTTCCCAACACCCTAAACAATCTTGAATCGTTAAAACCTCTTGGTTTTCTTCGATTTGAACCGATCAGAAATTGCATCTGAGGCCTCTTTCGTCATTTCCCCCATTCGAGGATCATTTCCCCTGGATTTCTTTCGAGGTTAGTTCACTCGTCGTGGGTTTTTAACTTTTTTTGAATTTTCTCTTTCTTAGGGTTCGATTCGTTCAAAACTTCATCATTTGCTCATTTTTGCTTATTTTTGCATCTATCTCAAATGGCTAACGATGTCCCCTATGATGAGGGCTTCCCTGCACTCCCTCCAGTAGAGTTGGCGTAGACTTTGCGGCTAAGCCAGAGGTTGGGCCTCAGCCTTTACCATTGAGCGTACATCCCTTCGACCCCGTGAGGTATCACCCGGAGACTCACATTATTCCGGTGGCGGGAAGCATCTATACTTTCACCGATTTTGATGAGGACACACTAGACGACCTCTTACTGAGGGAGCCGATGTCTCATTTGTCGGCCATTGCTGTAAAGGTACGAACTCTGGTTTTCTATAGTATTACCTTCAACTACTTGCATTTCTTGCACTGTTTCAATCTGATCGCGTCACATGCTTTGACTTGACTGTATTTCATACATTATTGCTCTACATTGAACTGTACTTCGCGCATCACTGCCCTGTATGTGCTGTACGCGAGCGCACCTCAGGCGTCACTATTCTGAATTCAACTGTATCTTCGATACACCACTGATTTGCATGCAACTGTATTTTCAATACGTCACTGATCTTATCTGAACTGTATTTTCACAGCATCACTGATCTGTCTTGAACTGTATTTTTAATACATCGTTGATCTGACGTGAACCACATTTTCAATACATCACTGATCTGATCTGAACTGTATTTTCAATACATCACTGATCTGATCTGAACTGCATTTTCAATACATGACTAATCTGATCTGAAATGCATTTACTGTTGCAGGATGGATCCCGCTCCTTCAGGGATTATGGCGCTACGACCGCTCAGGATTGGTACGATGTACTTCCCGCGAGGGTCTGTCGGATCATCAACGAGACCGGCTTTGGCATATTTTCCTGTAGCTTGACGCGGGTTACAGCGAGTCACCCTCTCCTAGGGGCTCTTGTGGAGAGGTGGTGGGACACCACCAACTCTTTCCACTTCTCCACTGTGAGAGAGATGACCATGACTCCTCTCGACTTCGCCATGATCACTGGCCTAGGCGTAGGAGGTGATCCGATTCCCCTTGATCCTGACATGGGAGAGTGGGTGGCTGCATGGGACACATTGCTTGGAGCACATCCACCTATTCTTCAAGCAAGCATAGTTAGATACACTTGGTTCGAGGAGCACTACAGTGGGGAGGATCCCGATACTGATGAGGAGGCAGAGCAGTACGCCAGGGCCTTCCTCTTGTTCCTTTTCGATACCACCTTATTTTCGAATAGGTGGAATACTGTGGGTTTATACTTCTTGGGCGCTCTGGTGGTACTCCAGCAAGTCCATTTCTATGACTGGGGCGCGGCCGGCCTCACCACTCTTTATGGATACATGAGCTCCACTTCTCGGATGTGTGAGAGCTTGATCGGCGGCTATTGGCGAGCTTGGGAGGTACACAACCTAGTTTTCCCTTTTCATTGCTTTACTCAGTATTCGTACTTTTGCTTTGCTCAACACTTGTACTTTCTGTATTTTTTGTATCTGCTCTTGCACTGTATGCTTTTTGCTTTGCATTTTCTGTACACGATACATGCTGCACACTACATACCATACACTGCACACACAGGATCTAATGTTCGTTCTAGGCCTGCATCCGTTATGCACTGTACTGCGTTCTGCTTTCTACATGTTCAACAATCTGATCATACACTGTACTGATTACATCTTTCTAACAGCTATGGGTATACGCATACTTCCCAACACTTGCTCCGGAGCCTGTAGAGGAGACCCTAGCGACCATCCCATTTTCTGATGTATACGACGGCCAGCTCTGTCGTAGGACCCGAGAGAGCTTCATGTTCTTCCGGCAGTTTTTCGACACGGTCATGGCGCACGAGGTAAGCCTGTAATAAGATTATTTCAATTAACTCGATGCGCACACCTTAGTTATTTGACAACTGATCATCTTGTTTATTCTCTTGTCTCAGATCACGTGGCAGCCATGGGATGCAATCCCGTCAAGACTCCAAGATCAGTACCACATTGCCCGGACTATGTCTCAGTTCCACATTCTCTTCGAGGGCCCGATCTGTCACGCCTGGTTTTTGAGTAAGCGCTTCGTGCGTCAGACTATGGGAGCGCCTGCTCCATTTGTGCTGATGGCACCTCCACCATCGATGAAGGAGACACACAAGTTGTCCGCCGACTAGGTGATTCAGTTCATGGTAGGACTGGAGATGGAGTACTTCCGCACAGAGGGCGACTATGCGACCTTTATTTAGACACATCTGATGCCACCTTTGTCCAGTATGTGAGGAAGAGAGGGAGCGAGGGCTCCAGTTGCGAGAGGGAGAGGCGGAGCGACCAGGTCTCGTAGGAGGGGAGGTCTTGAGGAGAGACAGGGGACTGCATGGCCCATGCTGCCTGCTACTATGACATGCCGAGGGCGGGCTGGAGAGACTTATCAGATTCCCTTCGCTCCTCCTCCAGCTGGTCATGAGCTTATCGGAGTTTACGGCTTGACCCTAGTATGTGCTATACTTTTCATTTTGCACAGTCATTTCATTTCATTGGATATCCCGCAGAATGCTAATGACTTCAACATTTTTGCAGGCTCCCATTGAGTACACTCGTCAGTCTCTGGAGATGACGGCTTCGGTGATGAGGATGCTGCAGACGAGCATGGACTTGTTCAGTATTTATAGTATTCCGGTGAGTTCTTTTAAACTACACTTCATGCCACACAGTCTTTTCTCGACATGCCATCATTTTCACAGTTGCACACTACACTAATCTGATACATTGCTCCCATACACCGCTCACAGTACACATTCACTGCAAATCATTCACTGCTCACAGCGCATTATTCTTGGCATCTGATACATCTTGATTACTAATGCATCTTGGTGGATTGCCCTTTTTCAGATTCCTTTCTTGACGCCAGGCCCATCCGGTACCTCAGCAGGAGCAGAGGCGGGTCCTTCAGCACCTTCCCGAGCAGCAGGGGGAGCAGGACGAGGGACTAGTTCACGAGGGCCTACCCCAGATGATGATGAGTCTGACGAGGAGGCAGTGAGTCTGCGGTCAGAGTCGCCTCGAGATGGAGATGGAGCTGGGGATGGCTCGAGTTCGGAGTCCGGTGTTGACAGTGGCAATGTTCCAGAGTCCTCTTGGTCGAGGAAAAGGACGAGAAGGACCCTTCAGTCTTGAGGCGATTGGCGCCGATCCAGACATTTTGCTGATTCAGACGTTGCTCTTTTTCTTGTTTTATTTTTCTTTTTACTAGTAGTTTTGCACATTGTATTGCGTCAGGCAGATTTACTTTTCAAAACTATGCTCTTTTGTAAAAAGAATCTATGATGGAATGAAAACAGCATTTTGTTGAAAAAGTGTTTCATTTGTACATTCTATGCATCGCATCGTATCGCATTATTTTACACAAAAATGTAAATGAGTTCGAACTTTTGTTTTGAAAACCAAACACTCGAATTGCACTAATCAGGTAGTGAACCGACTAATAATAAAACAACTCGATAAGCAGAACAAAGTCTTAACAAGTTTACAACTCGATAAGCAAATTACCACAACTCGATAAATGAAAGGAAGATGATCACAACCTGACACAAAAAAAAAAAAAACTAATACGTCTTAAACAAGACATGATAGAGTCCAACAGGACAAAACAAGACCTTAAAAGACCTAGGTAGCAGGACTTCTCTACAGCAAACAACTGGGTCTTCAACAAGAAGGTCAGTGAGAATGAGGGAGAGACTGCCGGCCACATAGGAAGGCCTGCCGGCCATTAGTGTGCCACTGATGAGCCACTGCCGGCCATCGATGGCAGACTCTCCGAAATGTCGACATCTGTCCTCCACTCACTGCCTTATTTTCTATATGAGTTCCAGCTTCAGGATCCTCTTCATTTTAGTTCAGATTTGCACCAAATAGAAGCATTCCTTGCTCAAAACCTCACAAATTGGATTGCAAACTTAGATGGCTCGAAAAATCTTAATTTTCGGGGTTTTGGCATAAGCGCACTATTCACGTTGAGTCGCACCTCGCTGCGTTTTCCGTTTCTTCATGCCGCGGCAAGGTTTTGGAATCCGGTGACACACGTCTTTAGCTTTGGCGGGCAAGAGATATGTCCCACTTTTGAAGACTTTCAATCTTTAATGGAATCCGAGCGCGATGAAGAAATTTTGCCACAATTCCGCTTCGGCCACATCCAAGCATTGGGGCGGATGTGTCGGCTCACTTTGCATGATGCTCGATCATTGATTCATGATAGAGATTTAGACATTCCGAGCTTGGTTTGTCGGTTTTCTGATGCTGGTGACCGCGTTGACCATCATTGGCAGGGTTATCGGCGACATGCGCTTTGCTTATGCATGTTATCTCATTTCTTACTTGCTCCAGGCTCCAGTGGGTTTAGCACTCGTTTGATTAAAGTTGCTGAGGGCCTGAGGGAGGGCAAAAGCTACATCGCCATGACGCTTGCTGAGACGTTGATAGGCTTGGACGCTTTTCATCTTCGGGAGACGGCTAGCTTGGCGGGGAGTCCACTACTATTGCAGGTAATGTTTCTCACCCTTTCTCACATATGTTTCTCACATCACTCGGCCCTCGGGCTCGATTTTTCTCTCAAAACCCTTTTTCTCACTTTTCTCTCAACATACACCTCTTTATTCTTTATTCTCTCATTTTTTATCCCTCCCCAGATATGGTTGATGGACAAATTGAAGATTGTGGACTCCTGCTCCACATATTCAGCTCGCAGCTACTTCTTCTGGCGACGTCTAGTCGATGCCCCGGATGAGGGATGGTGGTTCAACCGGATATGTAGCTTGTCCGTTACTGACATTGCTTAGCGCTGCCCTTGGCTCAATCTATCGGTGATGAGTTATAGCATGACCCGTCAACCCGGGATCCAGTTGGTTGGCCTGACACACTGCGTGTTCTACTTTCCATTCTGATTTCGACGTCAGTTTGGACAAGATCAGACTTGCCCGGAGGAGGGGATAGAGTACCCTACTACATTTCTGGTTCGAGGCACGTAGGTAGCTCGGTATGCCACCGCCTGGAGGACAAGAGAGCTTCTGGTTCCTGCTCCTGCTCCTGTTTGCAGCTGTACCCTTTCTGATGAGTGCCTAGATTGGCTCAATGAAGAGGCACAGGTAGGGCCCACTTTGGCGTCAGAGGCTTCCACAAGCTCTGGGAGGAGAGGCAGGAACACCTGACTTATGCCCCGAATTTATTTGCCTTAATCAAAACTTTCAAGTTTTCTTTTGAATGAAATAAAAAAAGCAACTTCAATTTGTATTCAAGAGTAGGAGAACTCTATATTGAAATCAATGAAATTGAAGGTTGTGGGTACTGAAAATTTTCCGTTTGGTCCAAAAATAGTCTAAGTTGTAAAAAGATTAATTTGAACAAAATCAACTTTTATTAAAACTTTTCAAAACCATTTTCGATATGGATCAAAACTGGACATGCCTGAGATCTATCACTGAAATGTACAACCCCGGATCCTAGCAACTGGAAAGTTGCCCCTAGTTTGAATGGCACTGCACTGGAGTCACAACCGAGCTCTTGAATGTTGAATGAAGAAAGATGACCAAACATGATCACATGGACAAAGTTGATCGGGGAAGTGTTTATGGCTGGACTTCAGGATGAAGTTGCCTACGTATCCCAAAGATGGGAATCAAGCCTTACATAGTTTGACTTGGGTTCACTCGTGTATTTACTCTCTCCTTTTGCGCTCTAACTTTTGCCAAGGCCGCCCTTTGCGGGTTTTCGACCTTGCGAGCTCAGTTTTTGTAATTTCAAATTTTTTATGCTCTAACTTTTGCCTAGGTCGCCCTTTCGGGTTTTCGGCCTAGCGAGTCACTCAGGGGTAATATTTCTTCAACCTGTCCATGTTGATCGGTCGGGAGAACTCTAGGCCATCTAGGTTCATCAGAACGACAGCTCCGCCTGACCAAATAGACTTGATAATGTAAGGGCCGGTCCAATTAGGTCTGAACTTACCCCTAGGGTCATGGATGGGAGCTCGGTTGTCCTTGAACACCAAATCTTCCTCTTTCAAATTCCTGGACTTAACCTTCTTGTTAAAAGCCCTGGCAATTCTGCGTTGATAACCCTGAACATGGTACAGTGCTTTCAGCCTTCTTTCATCAAACAACATTAGTTCTTCGAACCTGCTCTGCTGCCAATCTGCCACAGCTATCTGACACTCAGCCAATACTCGCAAGGATGGAACCTCAACTTCAATAGGCAGAACAGCCTCTATCCCGTAAACCAAGGAATACAGAGTTGCTCCAGTAGAAGTATGAATTGAAGTCTGGTAGCCCCACAGAGCAAATGACAACTTATTTGGCCAGTCTCGGTAGGTCTCCACTATCTTTTGCAATATGTGTTTGATGTTCTTGTTGGCGGCCTCAACTGCTCCGTTGGTCTGCGGCCGATACGTAGACAACTTATGAAAAGTCACGTTGTATTTTTCCAACAAGTCAATCACCTTCTTCTTGAAATGGGAACCATTGTCTGAAACGATCTCATTTGGGACCCCATAGCAACAAATGATGTTGTTCCTGATGAACTTCGTAACATGTGAAGCCTTCAACACCGCATAAGATTGGGCCTCAACCCACTTTGTAAAATAGTCTATCGCGACCAGAATGAACTCATGCCCATTGGACCCTTTTGGAGTGACAGCTCCGATCACGTCAATCCCCCAAACTAAAAACGGCCATGGCGAAGTCATGTTGTACAGCTTAAACGGTGGGATATTCATGCGGTTTGCATGGATTTGACATTTGTGGCATCGCCGAACAAAGCCAATACAATCCTCCTCCATAGTGGACCAGTAGTAACCCTGTCTAAGGATTTTTCGGGCTAGCATCACCCCCGTTCATGTGCGCTCCGCACTCTCCTCCATGGATGGCCTCCATCAGGCGCTTCGATTCTTCAGTGTCAACACATAGCTTATGCATTCCCACATGACCTCTCTTATACAGTTTACCCCCGTAGATGATAAACTGAGCGGCCATTCTTCTAATTGCCTTTTTATCTTTGGCATTTGCCCCTGGTGGATACGCCTTTTTCTCCAAGAAGTTCCAAACATCGTAATACCAGGGATTCTCATCTTGAACCTTATCTATGGCAGCAATCAACTCATAAGCCGGCACAAACTTCTGGTCAATGATGA